TATATATATATATATATATATATATATATATATGTATATATATACATATTTTTTATTTTTTTTTATTTTTTTTATATATATATATATAGGGGAGTGGTGGCGCAGAGGTTAGAGAAGGTGGGCCTGTGATCAGAAGATCGCTGGTTCATCTCCTTTTACAAACATCAAAATGTGGGTGGGATAGGTGAAGCACCTACACCTGCCTCAACCCTCATTTGCCCCACTCTGGACACTCAAGCAAGGCCCTCAACTCCCACTGTCTGCTCCCCGGGTGCCCTAGATTGCAGCTCAGCTCCACACAGAGGGCTGTGGTAGCTCAGTGGTCTCTGGTTTTGTCAGGAGTGGCATCCGGCGTAAAAATAATTACCAAGTCTTCATGTGACTTAGTTCACTGATTAACTGGACATCATTAACTTCACGCAGACTCCCACTGGTACATTTTTATCTTTAAATCATTTCTTAGTCTGCTGCCTTCATACATCTCCTCCTACATGTCTCTGTGTGAGTGCAGCTACAGCGTGCGCTCTCAGGACATTATTACCTGCAGCGTTCCCTCAGTGCGGTCTGGACTAGGCAAAAGGGACTTCTCCTACTCCGCTCCTGTTTCCTGGAATATCTTACAAAAAGATCTGAAGCTCTCAACCTTGACCTCTCTAAGTGGCTTCAAAACATCTGGTAGGTTCCTGGGAAAAACCAATGCAGACATGTTCCTGTTTTTAGTTTTCTAAATCGCCTTATAATCTAGCTGTTTTTTTTTTTTTTTGCTACTCTTTCTTTTGACTGCCCTTTTAATTTTAGTAATGCCAGTATTAGTATTTTTTTCATCTTCACATTCACTAGTTTTGGAAAGGAGTAGCTTAGTCCTTTGTGACATACAAAAAAAGTTTCTTTAAACATAATGCGTATGTGCCTTTTAAACAGTTTATCTTGCCTTTTTTTTTGTTACTATCAGAGTCTCTTTAACTTGCTTAAACAAAAATTTATTCCGAACTAGATTAATTAAATTAGATTAATTTTAGCCATACTGTGTTCATTGTTTTCATATACTTTTTTCTTTTTGCTATTCGTCCTTGTGTAACCATATCTGCAATGCAATGCTTCCTTTAATACTTGCTGTGCTGACAATTTACATTATAATTTATAATAATAATAATATTTATATATTGTTTTATTATTATTATTATGTTAGCAAATATGTAATAAATATGTTAGCATATAATATTTGCTAAGACATAACATTTAATGTTTGAATCAGATTACCAGGGGCTTTTGACGCTGTGTTGTTCTAGTTATTTGATTATACTGTAGTAAAATTCAGATACTTTGTACTGTAACAAACAAAGACTGCACATTTGAAATAAGCTAACTTTCCCAATTTATTCGAATTGCACCAAAACAAGCTCTTGGGGACCTTGCTGATGTTGCATAACCAATTCATGTCAGTATGAACAACTGGGGAAGACATAGTAGACAGCAACATGGATAAATGTAAAAATGTGCTGTGCTCACTGTTCCTCCTCTTGCTCTGTAATAAGGTTTTTCATATTAAACTAAAAAGTGCCTATATTGCTTCTTATATTAGAAAAGTGAGAAGCTCATGCTCTCAGTTTGTGCGCTATTCTCTTGCAGGTGAAACAAACTTAATGACTGTCCAGTTCTCCCAGCCAGACTTGCTTCTCGATCATGTACTGACCAACCAAAATGCAAAATTTATGCAGGGTAAAACAGAAAACAAGCGAGGTATGCTCTAACTGGTCCATTGATCAGTGCCTCAAAAAGTGCTCCATCAGCACACTCACAGGACGCTATGACAACAGCTAGAGTTTCCTCCAATGATATATAAAGAGTGCTGCTGGATAAGATGATTCTAGACTTTCTGCATAAATAGAAGCCTCAAGGCCAAATGATGCACAGCAGCATGTTTGGATCTAAAATTTAGAATATGCATAAGAAGTGAAATCCAAAGTTGGTTTCTTAATTTCCGCACACTGATATGGTTGCAGTAGGATGAATGGTTGTCTTACATGACAACTGACAAGATGTTTCAGATATCGTGCTTCCTGTCACATGGCCACAGCTGAGCTTCCTTGTTCTGGACAAAGGCTGGTGTCAGTTCACAGCAAATCAATGGCAGGACCTGTAAGAAGACACCTCTGCTGGGTAAAATTTGAACTGCATTGATCAAAAAAGGATGCAAAAGTCAGGCACAATCATAGACGTGTGTCTGCTCTCTCACATCAAGGAATGCAACATATTTTTTATGAACATACAGATATTTAAAACTTAAATTCCCCTTTTTTTTATCTTCCCTCACATTTGGTCTCCATATCTCTGTGCTCTTTTCTGTTACTGTTGTTGTCCCCTTCATCCATCCAGCCTCTCCTCTCCCACATCCCTTTGTCCTCCACTGTCCCAGACCTGCAACCATAGGGTATCATCTGACTTAGCAGCATGTCCTTGGTCCATACAGTGGCAAAGGCATACTGCTCTCCTTTCTTTGTTCTCTGTATTTTTACCCTGAAACAGCAACAACTCTTGTTTTTTTTGTTGTTGTTTTTTCTGTCGAACTAGACACTTTTTGTTTTGTTTTGTTTAGCTATGGAAATGAGATTATAACAAAAAGTGCTCAGGGAACATGTTGTCTCCACCAGTTTAAATAAAATGCTTGTGCAGCGTCCCCTAACCTTTCATTATTTTTCAGCTCTGTCACAGCATTTCTTTGTGCAATAGAGCTAAAGCAAAACATCCAGTGCAGATTTTTGTATTGGAGGAGAGCCCTGCTTTGCAGACACTGCAGTGCAGCCTTCCTACTGCAAGTTCTACCTTTTCCACCTGTTTCTGGGCTCAGTATGCAAGTACGAAAGAAGTTTGTGGAAACTGTCCAGATGCCAATAGCAAGACACAGAACTATCAATACTAATCTCCTTATGTCCACTGTTTCTCTTATGTTTTAATTAAAGCTGAATAATCTGTGCTTACTAATTATTTTGAGGACCAAAACAATGAATCAACATTTTGCTATATATTTGGTAATAATGTGTGCTTATTTGTAAGAATCAGTGTGTGTCTGTGCATGACTTTGTCATGGTTCTTGCTTTCTTCATGTGTTGTCAATACGAGAATACCATATGCACCAAAAGTGACCGTTCAAATTTTCTGTTTTGATAAAAGCAACAAAAATTTTAAGAATTAAATAAATAAAAAACTTTGAATAAAAAGTTTGCCTATACTGTTGTATCAAATTTTCACATCGTGCAGAACTGGTTCTGTTGGGTTATTATATTAGTAATATTTGGGGGCATTAACATGTATTGTACAAAAGAGATGCTTCTTCAGATCATGAGCGTGTGGAAAATGCAAGCTTTACAATAAGAAATTGAGCAATCAGTAGATAAATATTTTCGACATCTACGCATTTCCAACAAAAATTGTTCTGAATCCTTATGTGACTTCTTTGTTTTGTGTTGATCAGAACTGGGAATCTGGGACATTGTGTACACTCCGACTCTCTGACAGAAGTAGTTGTCTCAACAGTGAAAGTAGTCTAAAAAGCTTTAATTTAATATGTAATTAACTCAGAATAGAACACAGCAATTATATATAAAAATGCAATGCCTCATACAGGTATACTCATTACTTTTGTAAATGTATGGGTCATTTTCCACTTCATTTAGTGGACCTGTACTTTAGTTCACCACTAGAGGGAGCTAAAGTTTTGTCATAATATCTGTAGCACTGAGCTCTGCTAAGCTTTGTACGTCAAACATACAAACTGAACGTAAATGTGTTATAGCAATACCATTATAGCTAAAGTAACAGTACAAACGTTAAAAAAAAATTTAGCCTTGTAAAGTGTTTAAAATTTGTGTTCAACGCACGACGCGTCTCATAAAGCTAATGATCGATGAATGGTAAATTTTTGACGAGCGTCCCTGAATGCAACATTACTTCAACACTACAGTGGGCGGAGCTTCAGACGGGAGGTCATAACAAACATGGCGTGGAGAGGTTGCGTGGTTAAATGGGCCAATACAGAGTTTATTAAGTACCCAAATAATATTTCAAGAAGCTCAAGGTAAGCAAATAAAGCTTCGCTTCGTTCGCTGTGTCTGGCTAAACAATATTAATGTTGACCGAATGCGTGTGTGTCCGTAAAGTGACCCAGCCGAGCTGTCAATGGTGGACCTTTTTTAGGACAATTTAATCAACGGAACGTTTGCGCCGTCAATGTATTTATTTTTCCTGTAATTCTTTTTAAATTGATTCAGCTGCTCAAAAATTGCCGTGTTGGCCAAAGTTAGTTTTACACCCTCCCAAAAAAGCGTTCTAATTTTCGTTATGCAACTTAATTACATGTGTGATGTTTTATAAATTATAAACCAAAATGAGTATGTGCAGAGCTCAGCCTTCCCGTGTTAACAGACCTCGACACAACACCAGCTGACATCTACACAGTTCAAGCTTCTCGGTTTTTAAAGCAAAATGTTTTTACAAATCACTCTCATACAAATGTTTCTTTGTTTCTAACAGACACAACTACTACAACCAACAGAGGTCCGGTTTCCGTCGGGAAGCTAAAAAGCCAGAAGTCAAGAAAGAAAATGTCACCCAACAAACTAAACCCTCTCCCCCTGAGGATGGCCCATCAGGGACCCCACCTCATCCAGCACGCAGAATGCCAACACTTTTTAGGCCTCTGATGTTCACTGTGGGGGTAGGCTCTGTTTATTTTTACTGAAATATCTACTTGATGAAAAATTATAAAGCGCAGTAAAACCATGCACAGATTAACCACTAGGTTAAAAGCATCAGTGTTACGCTCTGAAGCAAACGTAAACTTCACTCTTCAAACCCACGGTATTCAACAAATCTGCTTCTAGTGTTCCACCACTGGACGCCAGAGGACAACCGTCCTGTGGTCATGCTCTAAGGGTCAGAGATAATTCAATGAAAAGGGACACAAGACAAGCATCATGCGGTTTTAGCTGAGAGGCCAGCAAGCGTGCATGCATTACGTGCATCCATTGCGTGCATGCATTCATAAATGAGATTTAGAACAAGAATGTCGCTGGTTGTCTGATTCCATATCAGTTTACAGGCTGCTCCTTTGGTGCAGCGGCCATTCTGCAGTATGAGGCTGTAAAGTCAAGACTTCAGACTGCAAAGGATGGAGAGGAGATAGAGAAACTTGTGCAGGTAAAGATCATACAAAACAACTAACGTGTTTAACATTTACAGCCTGTTTACCTAGCAAGCTGCTTATAGTGACCAAGTGAACCATGATGTCTCAGGGTTCCCAGGACATGACGTACTGGCACGACTGGTGGAACCACCTGTCCAACGCCCAGAGACAACTCATCCTTCTCATATCCATAGTGGATGACTTCTGGAATGGTCTCACTGAGGGACAAAGGACAGCAACTGGTAGATTTTAAAGCAGACCTTCTTCTTTTTCTTTCAGCTTTTCCCTTTACATGGGTCGCTACAGCGAGTCATCCTCCTCCATCTTTATAAAGCAGACCCTATTTATCTTTATTAAATTGTCTTCCCTGTTTCCCTTTGGTTCAGAACACTGCAGCAAAACCCATTCTGAGTCAATTTTGACTTCATTCACTTCTCGTTTCCTAGGCATTATTGCAATGAATGCTGCAGTTCTGTGTTGCTGGCGGATCCCGTCCATGCAGAAAACTATGATCAAGTACTTCATGTCCAACCCAGCCTCCAGTGAGTGCCATGATTTTTGAATTTTTTTAATTGGAAATCAATACTAAAATGGATTATTCATTCTTTGTGTTTCCACTGTGAAAGTGGTTTGGTTTATGTGTTGTTGTTTTTTTTTATCTCTTATCAGAAACACGATGCCTTCCCATGATTCTGTCTTGCTTCAGTCACTACTCCATTGTCCACATGGTGGCCAACATGTATGTCCTATGGATGTTCTCCTCTGGAATTGTTTCTCTCCTAGGAAAAGAGCAGTTTCTTGCAGTCTATCTCTCTGCTGGTAAGAAGAATAAAGATTAGGACTGTGTCAGATAGCCTTCATCCAGTTCAAATACAACACTTAAACAATGAAGCATTTATTTCTCCAAGTAGGAACTTTTTAATGTAAATATTCAAACATTTCAAGTTGTGCAATGTAAAAATCTTATTGTGTCAAGATATTTATTTTGGTTACAATGAACATCACACTTTCATCAAAGTTCATGCTCAATAATCCAGGTAAAATAAATCCAACAATGTTCAGTCAGGTCCTCTGGACGGTTTCTTCTTTTGTTGAGATGTTTTTCATCCAAAGGACTTCATCAGTCTGAGGAGCCACAACAAACTCAGTCCCACAAGCAGCACACTCCCATAGTGGACCAACCAATTTGCTGGTGATGAGATGGTTTCTGGAACCCCCCCCCCCCCCCCCCCTAGACTCCTCTGAGGCAGCCATAGTCAAAGTGGTTCAAAAGTGGACTGATGAAGTCCTTTGGATGAAGGACAAAATGTCTCAACAAAAAAAGAAACCGTCCAGATGACCTGACTGAACTTTGTTGGATCACACTTTCAGTTTTCTCTCAGAGAATGTTTTATATTTATTTTAAATATTTAATTTCCAAAGATTTAGGTAGATGTGTTAGCAGGAATGAAACATGTTGTTCTGTATTATCCAGTAAAACAAAGTTGGATTATACATATTTGAAAACCTGAGAGAGAGTTTGTACAGAAGAACAAGAGTGGGCGTCTCTGTTTTAGTTGGCTGGTGGTTTTGTTTTGGAAGGTGTTCTGGTGGTGGCTTTTATTTTAAAATCTGACATTAACATACAGAATTTAATTAAAATAAAATACATTGTACAAATGCATATTTGCTACCTTGCTAAACAAACTGAATTTCCCATACAGAATGAACTCTAAGTATGAGTAAAATTTAGCAATTGTTTTGTTTTTTCATATTGTGCTTTGTACAATTTTTAGCTAACATTAATTTGCTAAAATTTTCATTTGTCTTAACTTTTCATTTTAAATTGTAACAGCTTTTATTAAGTGTTTTAAGCATTTACTGTCAAAGTTTTCAAGAATACTTCCAATATTTACAGGAAAATTACACTCTTTACACAATCTTCTAGTGTTTCCCAGGTGCATTATGGCTGACCTCAGTAACTTAAATACATTTTAGTGCTATTACACTTTATATTGTTTCAGTGGTTTTAGTCAAATTGCTTGATTAAAAAAAATCCTGAGATTAAAGCAAAGTAAAACTCAAAAATAAGTGGTATTTATTTGTTCACTTGCTTGTGTGTTTGTAGAGGAATGAAACATGTTTTGTTTATACTTTCAGGTGTGATTTCCACGATGGTCAGCTACGCGTGTAAAACAGCCACTGGGCGTTTCTATCCATCATTAGGAGCCGTAAGATTATTATATACAATGGATTCAGACAAACTTCTCCCCAACCATTGGGCTGGACAGTGTAGTACTGTCTTGTATATGAAGTACTCTCTTGTGTGTGCAGTATTGTCTGTAGTAGACATATGTCTTCTTGTTGTTTACTTCTGCTGCCTGTTTTATTTAATATAATGAGCGTTCTTAAATCCTAAATTGAGATCATTAACTTTGTTTTATCCAGTCAGGTGCTGTCATGGCTGTACTTGCTGCAGTCTGTACGAAGGTGCCAGAGGCCAAACTAGGCATAATCTTCCTTCCAGTGGTTACTTTCACAGCAGGGAATGTAAGTGTTTCAGTTTAGATACACAAGTCTTTAAATGATATGATGATTCTGTCTCAGTGAAACTGGAAAAATCATGTTTTATCAGTCATTCACTATACAAGCCAGCAGTCCTACTGCCCTGCTGCATGCTCGGCAGCACAACGGCTCAGTGGTTAGCACTGTAGCCTCAGCAAGAAGGTCCTGGGTTCAATCTCCGGATGGACCTGGGGTCTTTCTGGGTGAAGTTTGCATGTTCTTCTCGTGCCTGCGTGGGTTTTCTTCAGGTACTCTGGTTTCCTCCCACAGACCAAAAACATGCATGTTAGGCTGCCTTCAGGCCCAGGCCTCTCTTGCAAAAGAGATCTGTGATCTCAATGGGATTTGCCTGATTAAATAAAGGTTACTAATGCTCAATAATCCAGGTAGATAAATCTAACAAGGTTGAGTCAGGTCCTCTGGACAAATTCTTCTTTGTTCAAATGTTTCGTCTTTTATCTAAAAGACTTCTTCAGTCTGAGGAGCTGCAACAAATGCAGTCTTATAAGCAGCATCTTCTCATAGTGGATCAGCGAGTTTGCTGGTGACAGCCAAAACTAGTTGTCCACATGCAAAATGAGGACCATGAGCCTACGATGAATTGTTAATGACCTGATAGCTGCTTGCTATCCAGAGGGCTGAGTGATACTAGCAATAACAGCATTGTAAGAGGGGAACAGTTGAACACGGAGGCCTCTGCCCGTGTTTCTCAAACCAGTATTCCTCTCTATCAAGGATGTGCACATCTTCATCCCTGAAAGAGTGACCGCTGGCCTGCAGATGAATTTGACTGCCTGTCCTGATGTTGCTTTTCTGTGCTGAGCCATCCATTTGGCCAGTGGCTGTTTTGTTTTCCTAATTTATAAAGGCTCCCACATACTCGGGTGTACTGTGTGTACTCTGTGAGCCGCGCGGACACTACGAGCACTGTCCGCAGACGGTTGAGACGTCATACTCGAGCGTACACCCTGATGGGCTGCAGCCCAGCTCGGCAGACAAGGAGCGTTTACCTTAGGGACAAATTGAGGTCGCCGATTGGTCATTTGCTGACACGCCTACTGGATTGATTGACAGGTCACCAAAAAAAAAACTTAAAAAAATAGAGCTACCGGCGGCCCTGGCTAGAAGCAGCTGGCAGCCCTGGAACAGCGGTGTTCTGTGTTTATATGTTGTTAATTAAAAGTTCTCAAAAATAAAAAAAACAGGGACTGCTGGCCCTGCAGCCCACACATCAGACCAGCCCACCAGGAAATCTCCAGAGCCTCCCACAGCCACGCCAGGCCTGATTTTAATTCTCTTGTGACAAATTCCATAATTTCTCACAATTTCAGTTATGTCGTCAACGGACGAGGAGGAAGTGATCGCTTGTCTCCTGGCAAAAAAACGAAAGAAAAGGCCATTAAACCAGATCAGGAATGAAGAAGGGGAATTTAATACATTGGTCGCCGGGCAGTTTATTGTGCGACACAGAGTACACGTATGCATCATAAACATGTATCTTTGCACGGACATGGCTTGAGGGTGTCTGTGTTGAGTCTAATCCGTTACGTGTGGACTTCTTTGGAGTGAAGTACACCCGAGTATGTGGGAGCTTAAACTGATCAATTTCCTGACACTGAACAGCATACACATAACTCTATTTGTGCCGGGGGACCAGATCTTTGTGATGAGCCAGTCTTTGCCGTAATGCGTTTTGAGGTTTGGAAGTCATTGGGACGCCATGTTTAGAAAATAAACATCTCTGTTTCTCTGAAACTCCCGTAACATATAGAATGACCACTGGTCTGGGTTCCTCCTTTTCACCTGTTGGCTGACTGGAGTCCTGTTTGGGTTTCTTATCTTCTTTCAGGAAGGCCCAGTTAAGATGTCCACATTGCTCCAGGGCCTGTATTTTGTGGAATTTCTCCTTCTGCCTGGTTCCTGAGTTAGTGGGGACGCTGTCCACTCTGTGGTACAGAGTAGGGGTGCACCTATAAATTGGACGGATTTATCGGCCCCGATTTCCTTAATTTTGGGAAATCGGCCGATACTTGCATGAGAAACCGATTTTACTAAATTTTTCTAGTTTTAACAACAATTGTCTAAACTTCTTTTATATTTCAGAGCACTACCTCGTGGCCAGTTAAAACAAGTTTGTATTGTTTCTAGGATATTGTTCAAGGGTATGTTTTTCAACAAAATAATATTGGAAAATTGAAGGTGCATTGTGACCTTATAACATCTGACGGTGTTGATTATAAAACAGAATCGGTATCGGCCAAAATCGGAACCGGCAGGTCAGACTTTTTAGAAATCGGTGATTGGCCAGAAAATTGCAATCGGTGCACCCCAGTACAGAGTTCTGATGACTCCTAACGTGCTCCAGCGGGTGATGCGAGTCAAACTGCAAGTACTGGTCAGACCTGATGATGGTCCTCCTTTTGTACGTGAACAACTAGTTTTGGCTGTCACCAGCAAACTGGTTTGTCCACTATGAGAAGGTGCTGCTTATTAAACTGAGTTTGTTCGCAGCTCCACAGACAGAAGTTTTTTGGATAAAAGATGAAACACTTCCAACAAAGAAGAGTCCGTCCAGAGGACCGGACTCAACCTTGTTAGGATCCTACACTGTGTTTTAAACTGCTACAGATGTGAATCTGTGCATCAACAGTCTGGTGTTTGAGTGAGTAAATGTGCACGTCTGGATGCATGGTAGAGCATTATTTGTTTTGGTACACTTCATTCCATGACACAACTCAAAGCCCCTGATACACATTTGTCTTCAGGCTCTCAAAGCGCTTGTGGCCATAGATACAACTGGACTCATGCTGGGATGGCGATTCTTTGATCATGCAGCTCATCTTGGCGGAGCGCTCTTTGGAATGTGAGTCCTCAGTTTCTCATTTTATAACTCCTTAAGAATATTTCTGTTCATTTGTTTAAAAATATAACGAAAGCTTAAAAAAAATAGGTCCTAACTTGATTTACGGTACTTGTTTTGTATTGTTCCTCGTCTGTGTCTTATGAGTTGTGTATTTTTTTTTTTATAACAGATCTGTTTTATGAAATAAATACTAAAACTCGTGGCAAAAGATAAAAAGTTGAGCTTTGATTTTAGTAAATGTTATCCCATATGTGCTGTACGTTTCCAAATTGTACCATAAAAAACGTATTTATTCTAATTGTACTATTTTTTTGGTCTCATTGTTTTACACCTATAGCTTTAACTGTGGTTTATACTTTTCTATCTCATTTTGGCAATCTATTTTATTTTGCTTACAGATGGTATGTGACATATGGTCACAAATTAATGTGGAGAAAGAGGGAGCCTTTTGTGAAACTGTGGCACGATATGCGTTCAACAGGCTCCAGAGGATCTGGGTCAGGGGGACCTGGACATTCGTAAAATCCCTGGTAACCTCAGAGGGAAACATTTCACTTCCTGTTGAGCTTTACAAGGACCGTTTTATTGTTTGCTTTAAAATGGGGTGTTATAATTCAGTAATAAATAATTTTTCATCCAAAATTGGAGTTTTCTGACTGAGTGTTATCCTTTTTTTTAGGGTTTAATTATATGAAATACACTTTTCTTCATATTTAAAACTCTAGGTATCAGGAAAAATAAAAAGGGTCTCAACTTAAAGCAAAAAAAAAAAACTATAAGAGACAAAACTGTCTAATTTGTATTAGTGTTTTATTCTATCATCAAATTAGAGAAAATAATACAACTTAAAAACATATGCATTCATAAAAAAGGATTGTCTACGCATGCATAGGCTTGAACAAAAATTGTTTGGCTAAACGTACAAAATACAGTTTACAAATCTAGGTTTATGAATATAACTTCCTACATCAACACTTTAACTGTTAGTTTTTTTTTTCTCAAATTAGAATGTTTTTTTTTCCGTACAGTTCATTGTAAGGAAAAGGGGATAAAAATTCATACTAAAATCACATTTTCTGACTAGTTAAGAAGTCAAAAACAGCAGCTGCCGAGTTCCAAGTGGCTACAATCCACTAATAAGGGTTGTATGCGCTGGTTTTTCCAACATTACCTGATCAAATATTGACATTTCATTTAATTTGGCAGTAGGCATCACATTTTTCAACAAGCCAACCACAGCGTGGGATATGATAAAACCAATCAGAAGTATTAAATATAATTATACATTTAAAAAACTGTCCTGCATCCATTGGGTAGCTTCTCAGCCGGTAGTTTTCAGACCTCATAAACATTTCAGCTGATTGCACTGAAATGTGTTACTGACCAAGCACACCAGAGTTCTTTCTTGAGCCTCTCATTTTAACTTAAAGCAGCAATTTGGCACTTTTTCAACCCCTACTTTTGTGATTGGCATAGCTGGGGAAACCAAACTGAGAAACCATCAAATTAGAGTAGTGGAGCGGCATGAAGCCGTAGATCTGAGTCAGTCTGTTCAGACAGTAGGACCTCTGGAGAAGGTGTTCAGGACGATGCCACATACCCTGGTATCCGCTGCTGGCATCCTTCTCAAGGTTGCGAAGATCCACCGGTTTGACAAAGATGCCAGCAGGTCTGTTAACTGTCGAGTGTTTCTTTAAATACAAAGCTACAGCAAAGTTCACAGCAATATCATCACAATTCTGTGTTTCATCCACTAAGGCATGTACTGCTTGAGGCTGGTCCTGGAAGAGCTGCAGGTAGCGGCGGTGAAAGAAGGCAGCACCGATTAAAACCATGGAGTACCTGAAGTTGGGAGTAAATAAAGATGAGAACAAACCACACAAGAAGCCCATAAGGTTGAGCATGTGAGAACAAAGGAGCAACCTACATGTCACCTCCAGCCATTTCTGGATTCTGCAGCTCAAAGCTTCCATAACTGTACACTCCTCCAGGTGTCGAGACATGTTTCCGTGGGACAAAGCCAACAATTTGATTTGGAAATTGCTGCGAAAGGTAAAAAAAACAAACAAAAAAAACATTGTGCTTGTTTCTATCAAGAAAAAGGTGAATGGTGCAGTTTAAATATTGCACAAAGCTCCTGTAGTAAAATTTAGGTATAAATGTTTTACTACTGATAATGTTCATTACCTTCCACACAGAAAAAGCAAAACTGATGTCAGGAACACTAATGAGCGTGTCGTCATCCAGCATCAACACAGCTAAAATTAAAAAAAATAAAAACAATGCAATATCAGTAAGAATATTTTGAAGTAACAAAATATGTGCACACTACTTAAAGATGAACTGACCGTCAGTGGAAATCTCCGGGAACGCTTGCAGCCTGTTGCGCATCTGATTGCTTGTCTGTTCCTTGAAGACGACCTGAACTGGATGGGGACCCAAGGAGTCCCACATCTTCACAGGTGTTTGCTCCCTGACGTTGTTCCAGACTATAATAATCAGCTGAAGATGGGGGACCGCCTGGTAATGGTTCAGGAGTTTGAGCAAGACGTCTGTGCGATTGTAAGTTTGAATGATGATGGTAAACTTGTCCTCTGAGCCGTCTGCGTGGCGGCTCTGTGCAGGGGTCTCCTTCTGTAATGCCGCCCTGCGCAGCACATCCAGGACACCAACAGCTCCATGGTCCTCAGCAGGGGGCAACAGAGTTGTCAAGGCCGCACCCACCAAGAGGATCAGCAGGAATGGAAAAATAATGCACCTTCTCCGAACTCCGAAGCTGCACCGAGGACCCCTATAAGAAAACGCAACATGCAGTATAAAAGTCAGTCACATTCTAAATAATTTTGCTGTGGATGACGAAATATCAGTATTAAAATATAATAAAAAACTGCAGTATGCATAACTTTACTACCTAAAGAGGAAATAGAAACTAATAACAAAAAGTACAACACTATTTTAAGCAAAAACAAACAAATTAGGGGTGCACCGATATCTAAAAACCCGACCTGCTGATTCCGATTTTGTTTTATAAGCGACACTGTCAGGTGTTGTAAGGTCACAATGCACCTTCAATTTTCCAATTTTATTTTATTGAAAAACACCCTTGAACAATATCCTAGAAACAATACAAACTTGTTTTAACTGGCCATGAGGTAGTGCTCTGAAATATAAAGGAAGTTCAGATAATTGTTGTTAAAACTAAAAAATAATCGGTTTCTCATGCAAGAATCGGACGATTTCCCAAAATTAAGGAAACCGGCCAGCCGATTTATCGGTGCACCCCTAAAATAAACACATTTTAAAGAGGACTTACAGCCTAAACTGTTCTATATTTTAGTCATTTAAAATACTTAGAAAATATATTTACAAAACAAGTGAAAGAAGAAGAAAGAAGAAAAACGACCTTCCAAAAGTATGAATGTGATACAAATATGTGAAAGAAATGACAAGAGTGATGTGATAAAGAGGTCTGAGTACAAGCTGTGCATAAAGTAAATATATTGGAAAAGAGGAATGGCCGTTTTCAGGGTTTGCCGGTGGAAAAAAGTATTTTAAAGTGCGTTCCCTTCACGTGGGTGGAATAGGGATTAGATAAATAAATAACACAAAGATATAGATTAGGCTGATTTGTGAGATTCCAAAATCTCGACCGTGCGGAACACCTATCTGTTATGTTTGTTTGGTTTTTTTACTCCTTGTTTTCTGTTTCTTACGTTATATTATCTGAGCTTTGTACTACTTCTACAACTCACCTCATTTTGTTGACACTACAACCATCTTGTCCCGCTGGTTGGTCGCCATATTGGCCGCTTTGCCAGTACCCTGACCCACTATAATCACGTATGGCAAGCCGGTTTCTCATATAATACTTAACACTTTCATTACAGCCAGAATGTACTCACTCAGAATGTTTCAGACTTAAAACTACATATAACTTATAACATCTGAGGACAAATTACGTCACTTTTCACATCCATTTATATTTCAGCTCCAGACAGCCACATTATTCTGATCTTTATTGAACGCTGTGGAAATTTGAAAAAAAATTCCCATGAGAAGAAAGATCTATATTTAAGATACCTACAATCCAATTTTTAATACTTATACATTTTTTTGTAGATGGAAAAATATACATTCCAAATATCTCTAATACGAGTTTCCATTTTATAAATAATTATACCATGTAGCCCGAATAAATAGCTTGTGAGTGTAAATAAGCAAGTAAGTAAAATCATTAGAGATATTCAGTATTCATATTATGACCAGTGGTGTAGTCTACATTTTTGTAGTGGGCATACTGTGAGAAACCAAAGTACACCAGTTAGTACAATGTAATCATCAATTTATTTTGCTTTTTAAGCATATTCAACATTTTCAAATTTCTCTGACGCTTATATTTGAATAAATGCACAAAAACATTTGTACAGCAGTTTGTATTAAAAACATGTTATAGAATTTATAAAGCAGTATCAAAGCAAAGCATGTTCAAGTATTAGGTAATGAGTACAGAATTATACAATAGTTTACTGGATAAGTGAATTTAATAAACAAACGCTGCATATGGATGGAATCGTTTAACTGTCGTTTAACGTATCAATGACTCATGCCTAATGATATGCCTTGTATCATTGGGCACTTTTAAATAGGTATACTGAAATTCTTACGCTTTTCTAGTGAGTATACTCCATATGCCCGCGTATCACGTAGACTACATCACTGATTATGACTAATTCTAATTAAAGGTTAAAATTAAAACTTGTTAAATGTATAAATATTTGCATATAAATTGATGGCATGCAATTTTAATATAAAGCAGGCAATGGTAATGTCTGAAATGCTCATTTTTCCTAAGTAAAATTTTGCTTCAAATATCCACAATGTTCACTCTTGATTGGAAGGATGTGTCTGGACACAAGTCCATTACCCATAAATGGGGAGAATTGACTTCCGTTGACCAAGAAATAATTTTGTTTGAGATATTTGAAAATTCTGTTCTGCAAACAGAGATGCCACCAATGTTTGCTTTGACCAGGACAAATTGAATCAGCTATATAGTGCTGTCCTGTCTAGCCACTAAATTTTAAAACAGCTACTTAAAAGTTTCAATTATGTTTAGATATTGTAAAATAAAGTTGTGGAGGCATTTACTCGTGGACGTGTTGGCTAGGTGGGTCGATGTACTGTACACAAAGTAATAACAGATAGTTGATATATTATTATATGTAAATTAGTCTGCCATACAGAGCTTCTTTGTGTGTCGAAAAGTCCTGGGGAAAAAAAATGTTTCAAACAGGAGGAGAGAAGAAGAGGCGCGGCCTGGGAGCCCGGAATGACCATATTTGGTACAGACGACCGAGTGTCACATGTTCACAGACGTGTTTTTGCGGAAGTAAAAGTTTTTGAAGTATTTTCCCTGATGAGATACTTTCAAAAACGCAGTCTCTAGATAACATACTTTCATCGTAACGAGTGGAGGAATCCGCGCTGCAAAAGATATTCGGGAAATTCAATTAGCGTTAGTTGTGCATGATTTTATTCTCTCTTCCATTGCAAATCATGTTTGCCTATGAAAACATTGTGCTTAATAAAATAAAAACCACGCCTTTAATAATCTAGGAAAGTGTGTCCAATTAGTCAGGTAGACCAAAACTGCATTTATAAGTATTATTGTTATTATTAAAAACTGGAGATTAACTGTATTTCTCATGCAGGATTTCTTGAAAGGCATGTCTTCAGTTCCAGTAACACCAGCCCTGAGCTGTCCCACAGTTCCACTTTCCAATGGTTTGCACATCCCAATACTTGGATTAGGTATGTATTACTGAGCATAGTTATAACAAGACTGTAATCATTATTATACAAAAAAAATTACATTACCTCCCATGGGTTTATAGAAGAAGATTTTACATTTGTAAAAGAAATGTAACCCAATTATTAAAATTCCTTAGATCACAGAAAACTTTTCGAATGACCCAAAGTGGGTTTTTTTTTAAAGTTGATAATTATAATTTGGAGCTCATTCCTCCAAATTCTGTAATTCCTCTTGGATCTGACCATGGCCATCTTTTATATAGGCTGTGTGTTTGGGTCATCTGGGGCCCAAACACACAGTTTGTAAATTAAATTATTCAACAGTGCTGCAACAGAGTTTCTGCATGTAATTAAATAAAACGTTTGACTTGAACGTACTTACCACCCTTTTATCCAAAACTAGGCTATATCGCATTTGATATTTGTTGTCAGGTACATCTCACGATGGAGGATTTTCGTATGAGGCCGTTGTGTATGCTCTCACTGAGTGCGGCGTCCGCCACATTGACACAGCAAAGCGCTACGGCTGCGAGGAGAAACTGGGCAAAGCGATTAAAGAAAGTGGGATCCCACGAAGGGATTTGTGGCTCACCAATAAACTGTGGCCCGGAGACTATGGATTCAAGGCTGCGAAAAGAGCCTGCCTTGAGTCCTGCTCGGTGATGGAGGTGGAATATTTTGGTATGAAATATGATTGATACACTTGTGGAAAATACAAACCCAATATAGACAATACTGTCCTTTATATTGTCATTGCAGTGCACCAAATATTCTATTTTAAGATCCTGATCACACACATAATATAAATATGTATTTGTCTCAGTAAGAAAGGTCTCTCTTGTAAATGAGTCCCTGAGGCTCAATGGGATTAACCTGTAGAAATAAAGGTTGAATGAATGAAAAGAAAGCCACTCAACTCCTTGTTGATTGTGTTCTAATATTGTTCTAATTTTTGTGAAATTATCAGCTTTTTTTGTTTGTTTTGTTTCAGATTTGTACCTGATGCACTGGCCCGAGTCATTGAGATCGGGTTGTTCCAACAGAGAGATGAGAGCTGAAACATGGAGAGCGCTGGAGGCACTTTATAAAGAAGGTAATTTCATTAACGGCTGTCACGTGAGTGGCAGCTTGTGTCAGAAACTCTGCTTAAACTGTTGGTTTTATGTCGTCGGCACTATCAGATCTAAACCAGACTCAGTTTTGGTGGCCGCTGACTTCCTTTAATGAATTCATAAACATTGTAACTAAAGAGCGGCACATTACGTGGAGCTAAAATTGTATCATTTTAGGGATTTGCCGTGCTATTGGAGTGAGCAATTTCCTGGTCAGTCACTTGGAACAGCTGAAGGAAGACTGCAGCGTGGTGCCACATGTTAACCAGGTTTATTTCTCAAGTTTTCAGATAACTAAAATGTTTTTATGAAGATATATAAGTCTCTGTTTGTTCACAGGTATGCTGATCCGTGTGCTCGTGTTGACTGAACTGTCCGCAGCACGTGATTCGTGCACGTGTGTTTAACAATTTGAATGCGCCTCATAATCCTACTTGTGCATTTGAAAAGCTGCTTATGCACATGTGAATCCTGTGGCACGCTTGTAGAGCGTATTGTATGCAAACAAATTGGGCTGTACGCTTGTGTGACTACTTTTGAAACTCATTCATCTTCATACTTCATGTAAAAATTTGTAAGAGGATTTTGATTGAAACGCTACTTGATAAATGGCTTGTTATAGAGTTATGAGGCATTTACGTATTAGATACAAATTGTGCAATATGTTTGAAATGACCCTTGAGCCAATGCCTTGGCTCATCTGTTGCTCTTTCAGGTGGAATATCATCCTTACCAGCAGCCGAATCACCTGATGGAGTACTGCCGTAAGGAAGGGATAGTGTTTGAAGGATACAGTCCCCTGGCTAAAGGTCAGGTCCTCAGCGACCCCACAGTGCAACAAGTTGCAAAGAAGCACAAACAAACCCCAGCTAAGATCTGCATTCGTTGGAGCATTCAGGTAGCCACATTTGTGCCTTCGTTTCCTTTCTGTTTAATCGTTTTGTCTATTAGCTTAAGTTTTATTCTTTTCTGAATATTTCTCAGAATGGAGTTGTCACAATACCAAAGTCTATCAAAAAGAACCGAATACAGGAAAACTTTCAGGTGAGTTAAACGCTCATGAAATATAAAGTACTGGCTCAGCTTGTTTGAACACTTGTTCCAAAAAGATGAGAGGGTGTAATGGACTCGTTAATACATTATGCACTGAATGAACTAAACCAATCCGAGGTCGCAGGAAGCTGCGGCCTAGCTCCAGCGGTCATTGGACAAAAGGCATTTGCCTCCAGAATTTTTACATCTATTGAGAATATTTGTCGTTTATGCAACAGCAGGTATTGGTGACACACTAACTGTCATGTCTAGGCCTGTCGCGATAAACAATAAATCAATTAATTGCATGATAAATGAAAATTATCGACCTCATTTTTATTTATCGGCTTTAATGTTTCTTCGTGTCTCTCTCTTTCTACTAAAAAGACACTAAACGACAAAAGACTCAACACCGGAGCTCTTCACTGACCCCTCTCTTTCTCTTCCCAATCTGTTTTAACAATCCAAAATCGCGTTCCTGGATCATTCAAATCAGCTAAGCTGAGAAGCTAAGCTGAGAAGCTAAGCTACGAGCTAACAGGTCGGCTTCGGGAAAAAGCCTCCGTCTTGTCAAAGCTCCAAAATTCACAGCTGAAGCCCGTGCATTTGTGTAAAAAGTTGTTTTTCTCTGCAAAAAGAAGCTGAGAACTTTACTGATTTTTTTTTTTTTTTCAATTAAAAGCTTTGTGTGAAAAATACTATGCTGAAGAGCTCAAACCACACTGAGCGTTCGCCATTTTGAGAACCGAAGAAAGGAAGGAGAGGCAGCCCACGTCACATCAAGGGGCCTCCCTCCCATTTTTCTTAAAGAGACACATTGCTCGCTCCCTCACTATCCATCCTTCGGTTCAGTCTTATACTACCATCCGGTGGTTGAAAAAAGGTACTACATGTAAAACAAATTAACAAACATTTCTTCTTAAATTTGACAATTACTAATTATTGTCAAATTTCAAACAATATTATCATTTATCACAATAATTTGAGACAATTTATCGCCCAGCAAAATTTATTATCGTGACAGGCCTAATCATGTTGTACAACTAGTTTTGAGTCATTTCTTTTAAAAACACTAATTGAACAAGACATTTAAACTGGTTGCGATGATTTGCTTTTAACCAGTTACCTTGTTCAGTATCAGTACAAGCCACTTTTGTGAGGTAAGTGTAAAAAAAATCTAGTTTATTGTGAAAAAAGAAATGCAACATGCTGCCCATACAGTTTTCACATACCAGAAATGCATTTTGTAGTTGTAACAGCAGTCAGCTGTCATTTCAATGCCCATTTCTCCTCCTGCCTCCTCCTCTGTGTTTCACAGGTGTTTGACTTCCAGCTGGACGAGGCAGACATGGTCGCTTTAGGAGGACTACATGATGACAGACACGTAACTTGGGATCCAACAAATGTGAATTGAATGAGTGGGATTACATGAAGCGTTTTAAGCTAGTCAAGTCAAGTCTGTTTTAAATGTGCTCTATAAATAAATAAAGTTGACTTGACTAGTCCCAGTTTTGTAAGCAGTGGTTGATGCCATCAATTTTTTTTTAATGTAAAACAATTTGAGTGACACTTTGACAAAATGCTGCTGGTTGAATATCATCTGGCTAATATCTACATGTGTTCACTATGAATCTGAAAGTGTTATTTTAATATCTCAGGTTTTGATCATTTCTGAATGTTGCAGTTGATGTTTCCCATATTTTACTCACAAAAAAAAAAAAAACCCGTTTGTTTTGTAATCCATAATTTAGCGCTAGATTTTATCCCTGTGGTTATTTTTAAATAAAAGTCCTAAATGGAGTGCTTTTTATTGTTGGCGTCTACTCAAATATTCATGGTTAACTTGAAATTACTGAACAATCAGACGACTGCATCTTAGATTAACTAAAAATAAATTTATATATTAAAGATTGAACTCTGGGCATGTTGTTCAGAAAGAAAAAAAACTCATAAAAACACAAGTTCAGCAACTCCAGACTTTCTCCTAAATGGAATCCTTGAACAATAGTGAAAATTTAAAAAAGTTAAAACACAAAAACAATCAGTTAGCAATATCATTTATTTTCCCCCTCAGCATAGAATCACTGTTGCACATAAGTTACATTTTGTTTTCTCAATTTCACAGGTTTTCCTCTCTTCAAACTTCCAGTTTGACCTCTCTTTCGTATCAAACAACAAACAAACAAACAAAAAAAAAAAAAGAAAAGCAGATTGTATTATACAAAAATGCAAACCAATTTTCACACAGTGAATTCTTTTACAAAGTCATAAAATGGCGTAATAATGGCTACATCCACATTGGAGGAAGATAATTCTAGACATTCCTTAATGGAGTATAATATACATATAAAAACCTTTTTTTCTTGCTGAAATCAAACCTGTACCTTAATTTAAGAGATATTTTACAAGGGAGTAATAATATAAAAAAGTCATTTGCAAATTTCCTCAGAAAGTCTGAGAATAAAATGTTGAGCCTCAAACAGCAGTAACAGAGGTCAGTGGTCACGGTTGTAGATGGGCTGTAGGCAGCAGTTCCACTCAAAACAAAACAAACGGGACAAAAATGAACATCTCTGCTTTTTACTCTAATGTAAACTCCCCCCAAACATTACTGTACGAAAGTGACGTCAAGCCAAAAGGTGTTTCAGGCTCAATTAGACCTGCAGAATGGATGTTTCGGTAGTTTTGGTTGGCTCAAATGTTTAAAAAAAAAAAGAAGAAGTGAAAACATATATAGCAATGCCACATTCCCTCTTTTCAACTTTGCACTGAGTATTTTAAGCTGATGTCTCACAATATTGTACAACAGCACAAATGTCAAATGAGAAGAAAAAAGTGTAAAACTTACATGGACTCCTAAAGTTGTTGACCACACATCAGTTTTAAGACCTGCAGGTCAGTACATTTACTTAACTACTGAAAAAAGAATATAAACGTAAAAAATAGTAGTTTAAAAAAAAACTATGGTTTGTATTTATGTCTTTTTCTGAAAAGTAAGTATGGTATAAACTAAGAGAGACCACTTGCATGAAAATTAGATGCTAATATTAGTTTACTTTTGAGTTCTCATGTTCCTTAAAATAATGTAAAGGAGCATTACAGAGAAAAAGAAGACCAGCCTTTCATTAGAGACTTCCTGCTGCTTGTCTTTGGGGCAGTGGTGGGCGAAAGTGCTAAACCTGTTCTAAAATATCAACACTTTTGCTCAATACAGCATAATTTATGAGGGGGGGGGGGGGGACAAAAAAGAAAGCAAAAACTTAACTCAGGGTACATTACCTACAATACAATCTAGCACACACACAAAACATCTCCATATAAATTTTTCAAAGTTACAGATTTTGTCTTCTTCGGAAGCATAATCTATAACGAACATCTTTGTTTGAACACAAAAGATTAAGTGAACACACATCAATGCACACAGAGGTCCTTCGTCTGGGAAAGGGTAAAGTCTGTGTTGGCAACCAGTGGACAGAAAAAAGAAAAACAAAAACATTTTGCTGATTCTAAGTAGAGATCATTTAATATAAATGCTGAGCAAGTAGAGTAAAAGGTGGCACGTTAATAGTGCTTTAGTATAATTATGTATGTATACATACTCATATGTATAAGTGAGCTGTGTACCTAAACAAGAAATGTAGCAAGGAGCAGCCTGAGGCTATAAACGTGGGTGGAGACGTACTCGGAAACAAATAAAAATTTAACTAATATGGCGGAAATAAATTGGAAGAGGTGCTCATTAAACCCTATAGTGGATGTCAGACACAAAAGTATTTGTATCTATTTTAACTGATCAGTAATCAGGGATTTGTCAAAGTGTAGCTTTTTTCCAGTAACCCTTGTCTGACCAAACCAAACTTGACCCAGAAAGTCTTTATCCTATAACCGTTTAAGCACAAGAACCCACTGTGAGTTTAAAAACTGCTGTCAATTATTGTAATTGTTTACAGAAGGCAATGAGTTGCTGAGCATCAGAGGTAAACAATTTCTAAGGTGGAGCGAGCTCTAGTAATAATGATGGTGATGAAGACAGTGTGCTGGACACAATTAAACAGATCAAATGTACTTTTCTGCCAGCCTTCGTTAATACATTCAGTACAATTTACACAAATATGTCAGGGCAGCGGATTTTGATGAGTTTCGTTCACTTCTCAGTAACACACGCTGCCGATTTAAGCTGTAAACATGTTTTTAATTGTACTTTGCAGCTACAACTGAAATTTCAGTAAGCTTTTACCGGTAAACGGAAAACTCGAAGGGTTATTTTGCACAGATGCAACTATTTCAAAAATGGAAGAAAAAAAAAACGTTCTCTGTGATTTTAGTTTTATAAAGTTTTCACAAGGCAAGTAGCACCACCCAAAATCATAACAATGTAAAGCACATAAAGCAATCAAAATTTAACCAAAAAAAAAAAAAAAAAACACAAGGGAAGGCAACTTCATAGAAGTTATGAGATCAAATGACAAGATAATCCCAATGGGGAGGCCTTTGTGTGGCCAGATTAGAAGCACTGGTGAGGGAAATACCCATTTTGCCTTGAAGTTATAAAATTAACACTAAATTGCATGACTCCTAAAGCACAAAAATTTGCTCTCAGCTTGGCAATATGCAGTCCCTCAAAAAGTACTTTTGAGGGTTTTGAAAAATCTCACCATTGGCTGGAGCTAAATGCACTCAGGAGCAAACAAGAGGCTGCTGAAACAACACCACCTGAAGGTCATGCCACAACCAAGAGAAGCGCTTAATATTCCCTTAAAAAACAACTAAGGACTTTATATATTTAAAAAAAAAGTTGCTGCAATCTTTAAAACAGAATGCTTTAATTAAATATATACTGATTTCAAGTATGAAACAGACACGTGTTCATAAAATATGATAATAAAAATTATACTTCCTGTGGCCGACAAGGAAATGCATGGGGTGCAACACTTGTGTAAAACACTACATATTTATTTTGGCTGATTCCAGGTGGAGTTTGAACTGTTTCCCTCCTCAGGCATCTACATCTGGGCACCTTTTTGTTAAGATTTTGGGGGTGAGTACTGAGCTTGTTCCTAAAACACTGTCACAAATCACAAGACTTCAAGAAAAGTTCCTCAAAGAATATGTGATGTCCAGTATGTGCACATTTGTATCTAACCGTTCATTTACATTTAAGTCTACAACTAAAGCAAACACTTAAAAGGGAAAATTTAGATTTGCCTCTACTGCTCCAATTGAAAAATGAACTCTGTCTAGCTCGAGTCAATGTAAATTAACACTGTCAACATCACCAAGCTTTTCTTCCTGATATATCCACTGTGAGCCTTGTTAATTAAATCCCAGTACACAAAAAAAAAGAAAAAATTAAGCAATAGGAACATGCACAAAAAATGTTATCATATGCTCTGGTTTCCAGGCAAGGAAAGTCATTAAAAAACGCTCATTCACAGAACAAAAAGAAAGAAAATTCATCACGGCAGATACTGCTCATCTTCTAAATAGAGTTGGTGTATTGGTGACTGCATGCTTTTCAACTGCGCAATGTGTGTGTTTGCATGTGTGTGTGTGTGTGTGTGTGTGTGCATGTATAAAATGTGTGTGTACTTCCTAAGAGCAGGAATGGACAATGCCATTCTTTTGCATCTCTGACCCTGCGGCACCTGAATCAGAACACAAGCTCAATGCAGACGTCTTGTTTGTCAGTGACAGCATGGAGCCACCCACTGCGCTGTCCTGCAGACTGCTGGAGCCATTGGACACCTCACTGAAACAGGAACGGGGGGGGGGGGGGGGGGGGAACATAACCAAATAAGAAAAATACTGTAAATAATATAGAATGCTCAAACAATTACGGAACAGTCAAAGAATACAAATGCATTAAATGGAACGTGAAAATATCCCATTTTATCCTTATAATAATAATAATAATAATAATAATAATGTCATCACAATGTCAGCACTGTATGTTTCCATACAATGGCGAAATTAGTCTCTGCATTTAACCCATCCACCACCAGGTGGTGCAGTGGGCAGCTATTGAAAGCGCCCGGGGGGCATTTTGGGGATGAGGTGTGCTGGATTGTGAGATCACAAACCTAACTCAGTAAAATCAGTCATCCTTCCATCTTTTATCTCTAATCACTTCTTGATCTCCATCTTCTGACACTTGCCCCACAGAAGAAGGAAGTGAAGTGAGCTGCGGCTAATTCCACCAAAGTGGGCAGATCTAAACTTTAGGTTTTTTTTTTACAAGTTTAGGAAACTACTTTTGTAATTTATTTATATGTTGCAGGTGTGCTTTACCAAAAGCATGTCAAAATCATTGCATTACAAAATTATTCCTACTTGTTAAAAAAGTGAGACATAATGTTATCTTTAAAGTTTAGGTGTGCTCACACTAACCCAAGAGTCAAGGAGATTTCTTCCACCTGAGTCTGGTGTTCTGGTTGTCCATTCTCTGCAGGTTTCATTCTGTACTGCTGAACATCATGAGCTACTTGGTTTTCCTGCTTAATAATAAAGAAAAGAAATGCAAGTTGTTTATAACTTTAACCAAGATACATGACGGAACTGGTATAGCATAATGATGCTCAAAACTAACTCTCATACCAAAGCCATCTCTCGAGTCCTCTTGCCAATTTCTCTCTCCACCTGGTGGAGCTCCAAGCTTAGCTGTTCACTGGAGACAGCTGATGCACTTCCACCCCCTGCTGGCCACTTGGGCTGCTGCTGCTGTGGGGCCACAGCTGACTGGACCTGGCTGTTCTGCACAGTCTGTCCTGCCAATGCACTGGCCTCTCTCTGCAGGAGTAAAGAGTTGCTAGCAGCCTGCAATATTCAGACAGCAAGAGAGGAGCGTTTAGTGTGCAAATATTCATTAGAAAATAGATACCAGGCATTTTTTTCTGTGTAAAGATAAATTAACTCCATTTAGTGATTTGGGAATATATATTAATAAAGAGCAAAATAAAAAAATATACTTTATAGACTTAGTTTTAAAGTTATGCTCACCTCCATGTTGTGCATCTGGGTCTGCTGAGTGATCTGTTGGTTGACTTGCTGCAGCTCAATCTTTAACTGTTCTCTGTCCGGGGCTGCCATGGGCAGGCTGAGAGAATGTAACACAGTTAGATTTATTGCACAACTATTTTCACTCACAAACTTAATTTTAAACCCATTTTTTCTAATGTTATAAATCACTAATTAGTGTAACCATGACATTAATAACTGTCCAGGGTCACTGGAACTCCCTGCATGTGGAGCTGCTAAAAAAGCGGTTAAAGAAAATGAATGGATGATTTTACCGTATTTTTCGGACTATAAGTTACTGGTTTTATTTCATAGTTTGGCCAGTCCTGTGATGCAAGACCAAAGTGACTTATATATGTTTTTTTCCCTATGCATGACACAATTTTTTACTGACACGTTAAATGTTCTTTTACACTGACAAGAACCAAAGAGTAAACATTACTATTTGCAGCTGCGAGAGGGCCCTCTAGGCTTTTGAAAACTATATGTAGTTTTGCTTCTGCTAATGCCCCCCACCCCCCAATCTTCCCAGATACGTTCTGTGTGTGCGCGCCGCGTGCAAACATAACCATCGGGAGCGTAAGTCCAGGACAGACACAGACTCAGATGGGTGTGTGTGTGTGTGGGGGAGGGTCTATCTTTCCCGATTACTACAGTGCTGCTTCAGTGAGACCTGAGTGAGACTAAGCAAGAGCGGCGTGTTTATTTAAAAGAATGACACGAAATAAGCCTTTAGTCCAGTCCCTCAGCGACCACTGAGCACCAGGCCACTGGGAAATGTCCCAGCGATCCCAACGGTCAGTCAGCCCCTGTGTGTTATTGCTATTTCAGATTAAATGTCTGTTCTTGCACTTTGTGAAATACATTTCTAAATAAATGCGACTTATACTCCAGAGCGATGTATAGTGTGGAAAATACGGTAGTAATTTGAAGATAAATGAAAGAGAAGAAGAAAAAAACGAAATAAAACAAGACTCACCGCTCAATAAAGTGTCCCTGAGAGGAGGAGGCAGTTGAATGGGCAGGGTATGAAGCTCCACCCCAACCGCCATGACTTCCATATGAGTATTCTGCTGGAGGGAAGGTGATAAGATGGAAAACATGTTCATCACAGAGTGAATACATTATTAATAGTTCAAAGATCAACAGGAAGTACAGCACAATGAATACAAATCAACAGGTTATCTCAATCTGCATCGGGTTTTTTTTTTTTCCTTGAGCTTTTTTTGTTTGTTCTTCTTCTATAGTATAACTGTACTCAGAAATATAACAACCGACAACTTCAGTTAGTTACCGGTAATCAATTTAAGAATGGCTTGATTAAGTATACAAAAAATAAAATACCACTTTACTGACTGCCTTACAGAAATTAGGAAGAAATATTAAGTTTCTACAAAGAAAGGTTGATAGTTGAAGCTCAAATGTTCACCAGTCATTAAACTGACTGCTGAGTTTCTTACCTTGCATGGCCATGTGTTTAGAGTTGGGGTTCTGGGGAGTGGAGGCCATAGCTTGCACAGGGCCAGTAGTCTGATAGCCAGTTTTTGAAGTGCGGGAAATGGCACCAAAGCGTGACACAGTGGGCTGGGGACCAAATGGTATGATAGGGTCATCATCCTTTACTTCTGCACTCCTCCGAGGAGCCTCCAGTGATGGTTCCCTCAGACTTTTAGCCTCCACGTTCTTAAAGGAGAGAAGATGGCACAAAAAATTAGACTTCATGACAAATTGAGAGAGAAACATGCTGGTTTTTTTTTTTTTTATGTTAAACTGACCAGAAGAAATAGTCTTGGCAAAACAAAGTCAAATAGCAAAATGACTTGTATGCTAGTGTAGATTCTCGACACCAGAGACTTTCTAGATCCTGATTTTGTTTTTAACTTTTTTGGAAAAATGACTTGTACATAAATATCTCACCAGTTATTGAGTCTACAACTGTAAACTGAATAAAATGTGTTAAGACTGAACCATTTATCTAACAGGAGTCACAAACTTATGACATTAATCTTAACTCACCATCATCTCCATGGTACCAGGAACCATAACATCTTTGGGTTTGGCGTCCTTTGTGCCAATATATGAGCCAATAGTTTCACAAGACCAAGGAGAGTACTGCCCTGCATAGTCTGGCTCTCTGCATTTCATCATAGATTTGGAGCTCTCATCACCATACTGCTGACAAAAAAAAAAACAAAAAAAAAAAGATTCAAGGAAAGTTTTAATTATTTGATTACTAAAATTATAGTGAATGTGTAAAATATTACTGCTGAATGTGTATGTAGCAAATTGATTTTTGTGCTAACCTCAGTGGGGTAATCATTGGGGAAGGGATGTGAAAGAGTGGGAGAGGGAGCAAATGGTGGAGGGGAGATCACCGTCCTTTCCTCAAGCTGTGAGATCAGCTCCTGCCGACGTCGATGCAGGTAGTCCAGGCTGTGCTGTGAACTACTGTATGTTGGACCCTAAAATATAAACAACAACAAAAACACCACTGATGAACTGCAGTGTACTTTTCAGAATCCCACAAAGTCCTGCAAGAAAAACTAAACATAGTCTTACCCTGACATAGGTCCTCATAGGTGGAGGCTGGGCACCTGGTGGATAGTAGCCTTCTGGTGGGTATCGATCCCGGACACTAGGTTCCTGGTGGTACATTGAGTTAGCCTGCCCTGCTGATGGTGGGGGAACATCCAGAGGTGCTGGGTTCAGTTTCACAGATGGGGGTGGTGGGCCGCTGTAGGTTCCAGGGCGACTTCTGTCATAATGAGGTGGGTGATGATAGGAAAAAGGTGGGCCGGGGTGAGGGGTTGGGTAGCCTCGCTCTGGAGGACCATAGCCAACATAAGGGTCATGGTAGGGGGGTCCAGAATCACTAGGGGGAAGAGGGTTACGAATGTATGGATCTCGAGGAACATAGTGTGGTGCCTGTTGATAGGGGTAACCTGAGGAAAAGAAATATATTTATATACTTAAGGACTAAGTAGAGTTCTGCTGTACAACAGCAGCTAATTTTCAGTCACACACAAAAATAAAGACTCCTATCCCTACGGTTCCAATAAATTACATTTTCTCCTACATAATACAATAAATTACCTACACAGCAAAAAAAATAAAATAAAAAAAGCAGGTCTCATTTTTAGCAGTTGTACTTAAAAAACATATGCAGCATGAGTTTAGGTTTGATTTGCATGTCATGTTTTGAGGCTGTAACCTCAAAGTAGCAAGTGGGCAACAAAAAGCTCATGATATCACACAATGTTTTCTATTCTCCACTGTATTTGTCTTCACTTAGCTTTAAAAAGAACTGTGCAGAAAAACATATGCAAGAAAAACTTTTTTTTTGTAGTAACACCAGACCTATATGTGGCAATATTTAATTTATTTGATCTTTACCTGTTGGGTACTGAGTGGGTTCATACTGAGAGGCAGGTGGAGGACGAGTTTCATAGCATATATCAGGGAGTTGTGGTTGGGGATACACTGGTGAACCCCTGGGTACCACAGACATATGCTTCACTCCTGACATGTGATCTGCTGGCATCCTTGGATGAGCCATTGCATGAGGTGGCAGAGGCATACCAGGTTTGGAAATGGGATCCAGGCTGCAGGAATAAGATATGTCAAATATATTACTGTATTTTGGATTTAAAATTTGTATTTTCTACAATAAACTCAAAAAATAAGTTCTGCCAGTGAGCAAGCAGAAGAAAGAATGAAGGGTTTTCCACACTGTACTCTTATTTATAGCAGCCAGATAAAATAATTTTCAGAAAATAGCACTCACACATCAGGTGGGGATCCTGGGACACTTGAACTTCCTCCGTCGATCTTCACAGGTTTACGAATGATCTCATAGGAAACTATGTCAGTGCCTCGAGCAACTAGTTGGGGCATATTTGGTGCGCCAACACCATTGGCAACAGGGGAAATCTTTCGGGGCACTGCTACATCAATAGGAAGATTATCATCTGGTAAAAGCCCCCCTGAGCGAGTTATCGCCCGTTTATTCATCTTACGATACCTGAGAGAAACAGAATGTTAGATATAAAAACAAATGAGATGGTGGATTAGGATAGAAAGGAAATATTATTTCATGCTGATAAACTAACTTTTCCAATTCTTCCTGAGAGTGAGCAAAAGTGCAGCTGGCTCCGCGAGGACATCCTCCCTTCTGCTTCATGTCACGGCACATATATGTTTTGTATTTGCTGTGCTGAGGAGGCTGGGAAAAATATATATATATATTATTATATGAATAATTATAACTCACAAACAAAAAGGTAACTTTTTGATTTAAGTAAAACTGAACTTGGATGTAAATTTTATGGAAAAAAGAAAAAAACATCTCTTTCTTTAATCATGCCACAACAACTTTATCAATCATTACACAAAACAGCCTTCAGTTGTTCAGATTGTTGGTCAGTTGCATAAATATTCCTTCTACCATCATATTTATTATACTTTTATTAGACATGCCTATGACAGTGATGGACAGCACCATGTTGCTTGGACATAAATTGCTGCTTAAATGAAATTTCGTATTACATCAAGTGAGGTGTAACTAGGTGATCTGATATCAGATTGTGAAATAATGTGTTGCTGATTTGCCAAAACAGAGATATTGAAGGATTGTCTATAGCATATTCAAGCAATTGCTGATGTTAAAATATGTTTATTAGTAGTATTGCACATAAATTATTTCTGTTTTACATAGAAAAACAGTTTGGTTGCACTGATTTGTAATTTGCAAAATAATGAAAAAAAAAAACAAAATAAAACAACAATAGTTTAAAAAACAAACAAACATTGTGATTGTAAATTTACTATGAAAACACCATGAGCTGATATTTTTGCCATATATCCCTTCCCGTGGTGTAACACCGCAAACTTCAACATGCTTCTAACATAATAGGGGGTTAATACTACAAAAATTTCCTGTCACAATATTTGTTAGCAACCCTGGAAAAATATAAAACTAAAAACACATCAAAAAGTTTTGTTTTAATGTTTCTATTCAATCTAGTTTTCAGGTAACAAATTGTGCCACCAAGTATCAAAATAGTACATTTTAGAAACTTTTTTTTAAACATACTTGTTGAGGATCAGCTCCTTTCTTGCTGTGGTTCTGGATAAAATCAACCAGACCATGAACTACTGTTTTCACTGCCACCAACCCCTTCTCAAGCTGCTCCCACGAAGGAGGAGGAGCATCTACATAAAGAGAAAGAAGAAAAAAAAATACAGGAGAAAAAAAGGTTGCAAACAGGATTAACACTTGTAACTACACATAACTGATTTTCTTCTTAAAGCATTGTAAGTACGCATGTTTCTTACCAGGACTGGGATCAATGTCTGCCAGGAGTTCTAAGTGGGGCCGCAGCCTGTTGAGGTTGGCTGGGTCTCCAGTCCTCTGCAGTGCAATAGTCAGCTCCTGAACACTTTGAGCAAAAGATGCTGGAGTCTGCAGCTATGTGGAAAATACAGAGAATAATTAAAACAAAAAACAATAACAAAACAGATATGAGGAAATTTCTGAAACAAAGCAAAACTTTCATTATCTGCAGAACTGCACTGTCAGTAAAATTAAACCGAATACAGTTGAACAATAATATACAGTGAGGAAAATAAGTATTTGAACACTATGACTTTGCAAGTTCTCCCACTTAGAAATCATGGAGGGGTCTGACATTTTCATCTTAGGTGCATGTCCACTGTGAAAGACAATCTAAAAAATTAAAAAAAAAAATCCCGAAATCACAATGTATGATTCTTTAATGATTTACTTGTGTGTTACTGCTGCAAATAAGTATTTGAACACCTGCCAATCAGCAACAATTCTGACCTGTTAGTCCGCCTCTAAAAAGTCCACCTCCACTCCACTTATTATTCTAAATTAGAAGCACCTGTTTGAGGTTGGTAGCTGCATAAAGACACCTGTCCACCCCACACAATTAGTTAGAGCATTGAAGATGGGTCGTGGCTGGGTCTTCCAACATGACAATGACCCGAAGCACACAGCCAGGAGAACCAAGGAGTGGCTCCGTAAGAAGCATATCAAGGTTCTGGAATGGCCTAGCCAGTCTCCAGACCTAAACCCTATAGAAAATCTATGGAGGGAGCTCAAACTCTGTGTTTATCAGCGACAGCCCAGAAACCTGGCTGATCTAGAGAAGATCTGTGTGGAAGAATGGGCCAAAATCTCTGCTGCAGTGTGTGCACACCTGGTGAACAACTACAGGAAACGTCTGACCTCTGTAATTGCACACAAAGGTTACTGTACCAAATATTAACATTGATTTTCACAGGTGTTCAAATACTTATTTGTAGCAGTAACGCACAAATAAATTATTTTAAAAATCAAACATTGTGATTTCCAGATTTTTTTTTTTTAGATTATGTCTCACATACATCCCTGGTGGTCTAGTGGTTAGGATTCGGCGCTCTCACCGCCGCGGTCCCGGGTTTCGGCACCAACTGTTAAAGATGGGAGCTGGCTGCTGGCCACCGGATCCGGAAACCCCCTCCAGCCCAGTCTTTACCCCCTGCTCGAACCTCCCTCAGAAGTGGCAACTATACTAATCAATAAATCAAGGAAACGTCAATTAAGTTTTATCAATTATATTAGAAAAGGCAGGAAAAGATTACAATTTACAGCGCTGGACTCTCCAGTTTGTGACGCGTTCACAGACCTGGAAGAAGAGCCCTGATGTCTCATTACTCATTTATAGGGCCCTAAGACTCCGCCTTCACAGAAGGGGAGCTCAACCTATCAGTGGATGAGGGGGCGTGACTAAGTGTGATCTCAGTGGATCTTATGTGGACTGACGTGTTAGGAAATATATGAGACAGTGCTTCAAAAGCCTTTCTACGTGATGTAGCAAGCAGATTAAACTCTATTCCGTGACAGATACTGAATCCCAGGGAGACTCTCTTTGGAGTTTGCTGGCCCAGTTTAACCCAGTCAGAACCGGGTCATAATTTCATTATAATCCCGTCTCTGAGCAGATCAAAACCAAAGGACCAGTCTAGATTAAAAATATCTTAACAAAGTGGACATGCACCTAAGATGAAAATTTCAGACCCCTCCATAATTTCTAAGTGGGAGAACTTGCAAAGTCGCAGGGTGTTCAAATACTCATTTTCCTCACTGTATATTCTTTTTATTCCCATTGCATACCTTATCTATGATAGACTGCATATGTGACTTGTGAGACTGATCTCCGTACAACAGAGAGGACCACTGGTCAGGGGCAATGCGCAATCCACCCTCCATGGCAATCTGAACGATCTGAGAGTCGTGCTCACGTCGCAAAGCCTCATAAGTACGAAACTCTTCTTTCAGTTGCATCAGAGATGAATCTTCATCACGCTTGGTAACCTAAAATATTACACAAGAAGAATTATTTTTCCTACCGAGCACCTACCAAATTTGATTTTATCTGCATAACATGATTAAATTAATACAAATAAAAAAAAACTATAATGCACTGATAAATCTGCACATATTTTCAATAAAATGGTCTCACTGTGGAGCAGGACTAAATCATCTCATCAAACATCTAATAACAAATATTTTCTCCTGATTGCCACATACAGCCATACCTTGAAGCAGGAAGCCCGATAAAGGAGCTGTACCACATGGCCTATACTTGTTTTAGAGGCCTGAGGGAAGCGTGGCTCAAGCCTCTGGACTACAAAGAGAACTAACACCTTCCTGGACAAAGCAGAGCCATCTTCTAAAGCAAGAAGAACCAACTTTAGAGCTTCCTCCTGCATTGCTGGGAGAAGAGAAAACATGACAACATTTTGAGAAAAATGTATTAATGAAAGGCCCCAGGAATTTTATTTGAACAAAAATAAGACCGCTTGTGTGGTGGTTTCACTTTACAAGTAAATTACAAATACCTGGGCCAAGAAACTGACAACCTCGTGCACGAACAGCAGCCCACAGGTTGGAGGAGAGCTGCTGAGGATTCTGGTGTTGCAGGATGAGTTCGGTGACAGTTCGCTCGCCAAGAGAGCGGGCAGCCCTCATGGCTCTAACACGGCCCTCTTCCTCCACCAGCTGACAGTGAACAAGAGTTACCAGTTTCCTCTGCATGGGTCGACTCAACATGCTTTGGGTTGTGCTGCTCAGACCCACACCTGGAATTAAAATGGAAAGTTATTACAAACCGGATTCCAAAAAAGTTGGGACACTAAACAAATTGTGAATAAAAACTGAATGCAATGATGTGGAGGTGCCAACATCTAATATTTTATTCAGAATAGAACACAAATCACAGATCAAAAGTTTAAACTGAGAGAATGTATCATTTTAAGGGAAAAATCTGTTGTTTCCAAATTTCATGGCATCAACAAATCCCAAAAAAGTTGGGACAAGTCAATTTTTACCACTGTGTAGCATCCCCACTCCTTCTTACAACACTCAACAGACGTCTGGGGACAGAGGAGACCAGTTTATCAAGTTTAGAAATAGGAATGCTCTCCCATTCATGTCTAATACAGGCCTCTAACTGTTCAATCGTCTTGGGCCTTCTTTGTCGCACCTTCCTCTTTATGATGCGCCAAATGTTCTCTATAGGTGAAAAATCTGGACTGTAGGCTGGCCATTTCAGTACCCGGATCCTTCTCCTACATAGCCATGATGTTGTGATTGCTGCAGAATGTGGTCTGGCATTATCGTGTTGAAAAATGCAGGGTCTTCCCTGAAAGAGATGACGTCTAGATGGGAGCATATGTTGTTCTAGAACCTGAACATAGTTCTCTGCATTAATGGTGCCTTTCCAGACAT